ACGCACACACTCCTTAAAGTGCCTCAATTTGCATAATCTTTGTTGGAAGAAAAATCCTAAACTAAATCATTAATGTACTGTCTTTTTGGCATATTAGGTACAAGAAAATGGAGCCGTGTATTACTACATATAACAATGCCAACAGAGATGAAGTTTCTAGTGTGGATGTAAAGCCATTCCTGAGAGGTTATATGACATTCCCCCTAGAATTGCTAGTGTGCCTGTTTCTGGAGTGTCCGTTGAGGAATATTTGGAGGACAACAAGAAATGGAAAAATCACGTGAGTGCATATAAAAATATCAACAAAATCATTGACACATGAAGGTACCGCAACATTATGGATATGAACGCTGGATTGGGAGGATTTGCTACTCCCTTGCAATCTCCCAAATTTTGGGTTATGAACGTTATGCCCACTATTGCAGAGAAGAATACCCTGGGTGTTATATATGAAAAGGGACTCATTGGTATTTATCATGACTGGTAAGTCTTCTTTACCCACACAATTTCTAGTCTCTATTAGCATGAGCATCTTATATTTTGGCTTGCCATCAATTCACTTTGTCACTCGATAGTTGAAGTTTTTAACTTAGGAAGCACTGGCACAGACACAAATGTCGGACATGATACTCATGACATGGACACGCAAACACAATTTTTCAAAGAAGTACCTATACATCCTTAACACGCTGATTAAAAAAATTAGATTATATGTTTTCATTTTTAATTTTTTTATATTGTAAAGTCAATTTTTTATTAATTCCGGCATGTTGACAATGTATCTCTTGGTGTGTCGGTAATATGTCCAAATGATACGTTCACTTGTCATCCAGTTAAGCACTAATATCACAGAAACTCATGAATTGGTCCTGTGATAGGCTGTTGTAGTATTGTTGTGTATTTGCAATTCTCAGGATAAAAATGTTTTTTGCTTGCATTTGTTTTGTCGAGCGTGACCTTTTAGCGTAACTTTTTACGGGCTTGTGCAGTGTTGAGCATCGTTCTTCTGTTTAGCTTTATATTTGATTTTACACTTTTACAGTTGAAACCTGAAAATAGTTATTTTGCTCACCATAATTTTTCTGATTTAGGTATGAAGCCTTCGCTACATATCCAAGGACGTACGACCTCATCCATGCTAATGGTGTTTTTAGCTTATACAAAAATAAGTAAGTATTACCTTTATGCGACAATTCTGCTTTCATTTGAGAAATGGATGCTTGATAGAGGTTATTCATGGCTTCACATTGGGGCAAGCCTTCGCATCAATATATCTGACACTCATGTCATTTTTAAATTTCAAAATATGAATCTTAATGATGTCTACCTTTAACTTCGATCAACTTGATACATGTGTAACTTTGAAGACATTCTTCTAGAGATGGACCGAATACTGCGGCCAGAAGGTGCAATTATTTTCCGAGACGAAGTGGATGTGCTTGTCAAGGTGAAGAAGATTATAGGAGGTATGAGATATGACTCGAAGTTGGTAGATCACGAGGACGGTCCTCTTGTCCCCGAGAAAATGCTAGTTGCAGTTAAACAATATTGGGTGGGCAACTCCACTGCAGTGCTGTGAAAAGCCAGTGCAATATCAAAGCAAGACTAGCAGTCGACAGGATTCCGAGGAGCAATTCTTTTATCCCTCGTACAACTCCACGGTTACAAGATACGTTTGGCCGCAAGTAAAATTTTTGCCCTTGGATGTGTTGATTAGCCCCTATTGATCAAACTGTACTTGTAACATCAACATTTATTCTTGAGATTCTTTTACATCGATGTCCCTAGACTTGCCGCGTCCAACTGTTGCTTGCCGCGATGATATGGAGCAAACAATACTGTTTGTGGCTTCTAGTAGTTCTCGTTCAAATCAGTGATGTTATGCAGGTACTCCGTAGATTGATTTCTCGTTTCTTATCTCTAATTCAATTGCCACTATCGTTGAGAAGATTGGTATGACTTTCTTTACCCTTTATTTGTCAGTTTCTAGTCTCTAAAGTTGATTTGAGCATCCTATTGTTGATTTGCCCTCTATTCACATCATCACTTGATATTTGAAGCTATTTTTATCCCATTTGAAGTACCTTTTGGTTCAATATATCTAAAGATTATGGCAAAATTGCTGCAAATAATGTGACATACTCGTATTAGTCTACTCTGAGGACATGGTATAAGGATTGTCTCTGTTTACATTTTTCCTCGGATTGCTTGTATATGTGTAGACATGTATAGCTCGCAAAACATCTAGCCAGCATGATAGGGAGTAAACATCGAAATGGCTAGAATCCGAAGGTTATGGCAAACCAGTATAACTCACAAATTATGAAAACATTTTAAGGATTTCGATTATAGTTCTTTGTATGAAGATGAGGGACATGGGGTCCTCGAGATATTTCGGTATTAGACACATTATATTGGACATTTTAAGCATAGCATTCGGTAGCATTGAATAATGATTTGAGGATTCAGAAGTGGAGTTCAAACAAATTAGGCAGAATTAAAGTGAGTACTCTACAAACTGTATTTTGGAGGTTTCATGTGATCAAGTTGTACATTAGGTAAATGTATAACTCGAGTACACAAGGCAGACAACCTTCTGCCCACACCTAATATCCCCACCCCACCAACCAAGAAATAAAAAACCAAGTAAAATAAAATAGAAATGAGAGAATAAAGACATGCTGCAAACACTAATTTCCTTTTAGCTCTCTGCCGACACAAGTGAACAAATTTATATTTTGATTTAGTTTCATCCCACATTATTAAGCTAAGACTTATAGATTTTTAACCACTCGAGTACTCAGTCTTTATAAAACTATTTTAAGGGTGGGTTCCTATATAAATGTGATAATTGCCTCGTCCTAGCAATTGGTATTCGATAAAGAAGAATTTTACTTGTACATAATGGAGTTACATAATGATTTATATACAGGTGATTTGTCAAAAAGGAAGTGGAGAATTATTGTGTAATTCTTGTGTCAATACAGTACAATGATGGGGCTTCAATCGACTATTGATTCTTGAATTTTTTAAATCAATTTATTTGTTGTTCCCTGGGAAACATATATTTTATGAAGAATCCTCAGGCAAACGGTACTTGCTTGTGACTGTCTCCATATTGGCATTTCAACAGGTAAAAACATGTCATTAATGTAGTAAGTTGTGGTATGTTAAACCAGTGGATTTTTTTTTTAAATTTTGAATAATATTCTTCCATAGTCTAGACCAAAAATGCAGAAAATAACGAGTCCCTAAGTAATTCCAAGCTTGTGCTTCGTACAAGACAAAGAACACACAAGTTCTTCTACAGAACTGTCTAGCACGGAATGCTTTGAGACTTGGTGGACATCTTCACGGCCTGTTTCGGTAAGATGAACCATATGGCGTTGGACATCATTAAAGAAAGTAAAACAATAGCTAAAATATTCTCTACAATATTGTTCCATCCTCTTGAGCTATTACCCTTTTACTGGATAACCTGACAAGACTATTTTCAGGTATTGCAGAGAGAGTAGCCATGTGAGCAGATTTACTGTGGCTAATGTCAATCAGTGGAACAAGTTTTTGTCCTGGTTTAGGTTTTCTCTGAGGAGCCATGTATTCAGATATAGATAAACTAACAATCTAATTAATAAAGGAAAGGAAAAAATTAGGTTGGACATGATCCGATTCAATTTGGTTCGGTTCTCTTAGAACTGAATCGAACCCCGAATATTCAGGTATTTAGCAAATGGACCTATGGGGTCCAAATTTAATCATGGAATCGTTCGAGTTTGGCAGCGGTTCCGCTCGTTTCTCGAGTTACGTAAAATAAGTATTTTTTTTTTATATTTATAACAATGTTACATTAATTCAACTAATGACATGTTCAATTTTAACTCAAAATAACGTAATACAATCTCGTGGTATCTTTTGAGCTTCTCTTTGTTGAGTTCTCCATAAATTTGACAAATAAAATCACAGGAAGAGGAAGATATCGAGCTCACAATAATAAAGAGAGGTTTCCAATTCGATTTCTTTAGACAGAAACGGTATTACGGTACAATAAGAGATTTTGATAAAATTTTGGTCATTTTGATTAATTGGACTTTGGCTGAAAATTAGAAATAGGAAAAATTATATTTTGGGTTTGAGCTGAATTAATTAGTTAGTAAATTTATTTAAAAAATAAAATAATTTGGCTTATTTAAGATAAAAAAAACTATGGATATTCGGTTCTCAGTCTAAAACTGAGAACCGAACCGAACCAAATCTGTCGGTTCTTGATTCAGATACTCGTAAGAACCGCTCGATTCGATTTGGTTCAGTCCGTTTCGGGTGCGATTCGAGAGTTTTGTCTAGCCCTAGAAAAAATGGTACAAGTTGGTAGACTCAAATCAAATCCATGGGTTTACTAAAAGAGATTAAACTATATAGAAAAAAATAGTACCACATTTGAAAAAATGAAAAAATACGACTCGAGTTCTCAAGATTGAAATCGAGAAATTACATCACAACCTTAAGCCTGTAGCCCCCCCCCCCCACAGAACTTCTTCCTGGTTGGCCCTTCCAACCCTCCTTATCCAAACCCATTTTGCTTTTATAAAAATGCATTTTTGAATAGTAATTTGATAGGAATATGTGGTTACAAAATAAGGAAAAGTATGAGGTTTGAATGTAATATTATTTTATTGAAAAATGTGATTGAAAATAAGAGAGAAAATTATTTTCGAAATATTGGGGGACCAAATAAGGCTAAATAAGTCCCGAACTTTAAAAACAGTCAATTGAGTCATAGTCATCATCTGGTAAACCAAACTTATTGTCATATTTGTACACGCCTTGTGGCTACTTTTAAGTGTGATTCTCATTGCTCTCATTAATTCAGCCAAATTCTTCCTCTGTTTATCCTCTCCCTGCAGCAGTTTCATTACTCATCAAACCTTAGCAATTCCTGCCAAATTTCAAGATTCTGCTATACAAATTCTTCTCTTTAATCATTTGTACAATACCTGTCTATTATGAAACTGAATTCAACGTCCAGTACGAGCATTTTACACAATCACGTGGCTACTTCCTTTCCTTTGTACTTAAATGGAGGGGAAGAAACCATTGTACTTAAACCAGTAGACTCAAATCAAAGCCGAAATTCCTCCTCCTCCACCCCACATGAACCCTTTCACCTTGCAAGAAAGAAAGCAGAAGACAGAGAAATTGACATTTTCACTGCTGATAAATATTTCAATGAGAAGCAAAATGACAACCCAAAAACCAAGGAATTACCAAATCAGCCGAACAAGAAAAAAGACCCCATTCAACTATTTGATATAAAAGAAAAAACTACGATACCAACTCAAAGTATTCATTCTGAATCAAGTTGGAATAGTCGAAGCGTGTTATTGCAAAATATTCCAAGAAATCAGCAACCCTGCAGAAAGAGTAACATGAAGAGCTTCCTTGCCAGCATTGGTTGCAATTGCTCGTGCAACGACAAGAATTCAGTAGAAATTGATGATTGTACGGGCGATAACTATCTTAACAAGAGCTTTAGCAGCAGGGTGGACAATGGCAAAGCAATACAAGAGCTTGAAAATGGTGATATGGTTACTAGTAAGGAGGATTGGCAGTGCAAAAAACTCGATGAAATACGAGTTAAGTTGAAGATAGATGATCATTTCAGCTTCCCAGTTTTTAATCCCAAGACAGAGAATCCAGCAGTTAAAATTGAATTACAAGCACAGGATAATTCGACCAGAAAATCTCTTGATGTTTTTGGCTCCCCAATACTAGAGAATGGGAAGAATTCATCCACACTCGAGAAAAAGTTAACAATGTTGAATTGGGATAAAATTTCTCCAAGAGTGGAAGAAACTGAAATCCCAGCGAGTTTCACTGGAATGTACAACGACAGCGATAGCGACACAAGTTCAGACTTATTCGAGATTGAAAGTTTGTCGAAAAATGCCAATCCCTTTCTTACAAGGCAAGAATCAGATGGCAATAGCATGTCCAGCTGCATTACCCCCACAACTTGTTACGCACCTAGTGAAGCCAGCATAGAGTGGAGTGTCATGACCGCTAGCGCTGCTGGTTTCTCCACCATGTCGGACACTGAAGAGCCAAGATCAACCACAACCGGTGCTTCAGCCGCCACCACCATAGCATATCCCCAGAAGACGGTACAAAATCCGCCAAAATGGCGCCGTCCAAGCATTCTTTCGGGTTGTAAAAGTCAAACAGCTGTTAGAGTTGCAGGGGATGCATTTCCTAGTGCAAGAAGTCATCGATTGGAGTCATTCACACCGTTGACGAGATTTAATTCCGAGAGTAAGCTGAAGGGGTTCGATAAACGAAACAGACAACACTCTTTTGATGCAGGCGCTCTCTCTAGATAGCATTCTGGACGTGCAACACATCTGTTCTATATTCAATAAATTATATTTTGTAATATGTTTCTAAAGCATTTCCATTGTTACCAAGTGATTAACAGTTGATGGCTAATAATGAGCAGAGTAAAGTAGCTTAAGTTCTCATGTAAGAGTTTCTTACAACTATATTTACGTTTCTATAACACAAATAAACACATCTTGAGAGCTATATCACTTTAGAAACCACAATGTTAAAATAAGTCGACAATTAAAATTGGCAGTTGAGTAGTTGGTGCATAGAGTGTTTTCTAGCTATAGTAAATCAACTTCTTCAAGAAATAAAACTGTGGAAGAGGCTGCTAGTTCGGTCGACATGAAAAAAGATCCGAACGAGGTAAGTGAAACAAAGGGAAGCTGCACTTCGAGATCGTGCTCTAGAAAATGTGGCTATGCAAGAGATGCATTTGGCTATACTCATGAAGATATAGATGAAGCTTTAGACATGCTAGAGTTGGGTTACGGACAGACATTGGCTTGCTCTTGATTCTAGTAGTAAATTTGACAATGAGCCTACCAAATATTACCCACGATGTATCACAACGAGTATGTCGAGGTTACATGAGATTTAATTTTTTGTTCTCTTTAGCTTCCTGTCTTGGCGTTACTTCCATTGACTGAAGATTCTTTATTTCGGAGTGTCACGAAGGTTCAAAAGCAAGATCTTGGGATTCTTCAACTATTTATGATCTCTATTGAACCTCTTAGTAAGATTCGAACTCATATGAAGTTCTTACCATCTATCAGAAGATCGAACGGGTCTTTCATTACCAAGAAATTCTTTGATTTCTAGTTGAAAAAGTAGATCACGTTCTATGAATAATCGAGACATTGAGGAATATTCAGATAGGCAAGTTCTATGTCCCCTCCTAAGACTATATTTCTATTTTTATTTCTGTTATGAATAAGTACTCAACCGATGTAGCAATTTGAATAAAAATAAAATTAAAACACTTGAATCTTATCTAAGATATTTTCTCTAAATTTAATAGTCATCACAAGTTCTTCCACTCTTTAAGAAAAGCACAAAATATGTCAAGAAAGCCTTCGTAGAGTTACTTTCAGAAAACAAAAAAAAAAAAAAAAATTGGCAAACATACAAAGGGCTTCTGATTGTATGAGAGCAATAATGAACAAAATGAAAGTCGAAATTTATCAACGTAATACTAAGTGGATCACAACAGTACTGACAATGAAACTTATTTAAGCAAAGAATGAGTTCGATGGTGACACGCTGCCCCAATAAAAGTCACAACCAATAACAGTAGGCTGCGGTCCATTCTACAACCACCTTATTAATGGCAGGGCCCTCTACCAGCACCAAAATGGGCATAAGGGATCCTCTCATCTAATGTCATTTGATAAAACACACACATTACATTTAACATTTCCAGCGTGTTTCGATTGGTGGACAAGGACAGGATTGAAAGGAAAAATTTGAGAGGAAAAAAAATGAAATTTATTGCTTTATTTTATCTTCTCTGGATAACGGGAGGGAAAGGAAGGGGTTCACCTTCTATTTCTCGATAATGTTATAAGAACTGGGAAAAATTGGTCAGCTTATAGGTGAAAACCGTAACACTTGAACCTGCAAAAATAATTCAAGAATCGACTCGTTCACTTATATAAAAGCTTCGAACCTTGACCTTTTAACTTTTCGTGGTCAATATTTGGTCTTATATTCAAAACATTTTTCTTTGATTTTCCTCCGGGTTTTCCCACTATTTAAACATGTTAACTAAAGAATGATTATCTCTATATTCAATATAGATCCCAGAGGATTCAATGGAGGATTCTAAAACTGGATTAGGAGACATCGATTCAAGCTCTGTGCGAGCGGTGCTTTCGATTGTTCATAAAAAGAGAATGCCTTCTTAGGTATGATTCCTTGTATTCTTTTCCTAACGATGCATGAAATAACCCTTGAAATCCGTTGTCCTTACATTTAGCGTATACACTTGTGATCGTAACCAGGCATTACAATCATTAATGATGGATATTTCAATATCTCGGACAACTTGATAGACATTATGCCTAAATTTCCAGATAGGATCTTAAATGGCCAACTACCTCATCCAGAGTTGAAAAGAAAAAAAAGTGGGAAATATAATGAAGGTGGTCCAGGGAGGAATATAAATTAAAACCCTGTCGTATTCTTGAATAAACATCTCACATTGGACAAACAACTAAATATCAGAGTATTTTGATCACTGCCTAATTAAGTGGATATGGTGGTCCTCGGACTAAAATTCCTTTAATAGTTGGGGATTAATGAGATTTATTCTATCTATTAAGAGACACCTCTGAGATTGATAAATGACATTATACAGCTGATTAAAACCATAATGATAAATGACATTATACAGCTGATTAAAACCATATACTTTCCCTCTGATTAAATTGTCGCCACCATCATCCCTACCATTAAGGGGATTGATTTTACTATAGATAGAAAATCAGAGCATTATCGTTTGTTATTTCGATCAGATACAGAACAAGAGATCTTCTGTTCGAAAAAATGTTTTCCTGATGCAAATTCAAGACTTACTTACCAAGAACAACGCAAGATACCTCCAAGAAGGGGCTTTAGCTTTCACTATATGTCTCAAACACTTCTATGACAAAATGAGCTACTACACAACCATATATCACACATGTATGTAATCATGTAGGTATATATACAAATCATAAAGAAATGAAATAAAATAAAATGAAACCATAGTTGGTAGCGTTTTGCTGCTGGAAGTGACCATTTTTCTTGTGAGTTTTCCTTGCATTCTTTAGCGGGCTGTGCTTCAAAACCACCACCAATTCTTTTCTCAAGGGAATATGACATGTAAGTACCAAGAATCCTATACCAAGTCACAAAGAATGGCTGGGAAAAGTTATATTTGGTGTCATAGAGCTGGTGATGAATATCATGATATGCAGAATTATTTGTAAAGATATGGAAAAGGTTTCCAGGTAGCCATAGCCCACAATGATCGTCAACAGTTTTGGTAGTGGCAAAGGAGAAAAAAATATGGAAGCACGAGGGGACATGCCTGATAATAGGAAAGCTAAAGCACCACCAACCGTGTTGAGAATCAGCCCTTCTAAGGGATGGTTGTACAAAGCTCCAAAAGCGTATGGTACTACCAGACTGTGATGTTAAGAATGCACATGTTGGTACAAGAACTTGTTGTGGTGTATGTATCGGTGCATAACCACATTATCAACATTACTCCCTTAAATAGAATGGTTATAAGAGTGTCAAATTAATCATCAAATGGAAAATGAAAAACAAACTCATACAATCTTCATGTTTTGACTAAAAAGATTGTGAATTGGAACGTGAATATAAAGATTTATATTACTTTCCTTCACCTATTACAATGAATAGAGCACCAATATATAGTGCAAGAGAGGGAACTAAACAAGGTAACATCCTAAACATGGAAAAGGAAAATTTGCCTATTCTAAATTAGGTTATACAATCAATACAAATCAATCCCTTAATCTCGGGATTTCTACACTCCCCCTCAAGTTGGATTGTAAATGTTGACTATATCTAACTTGCAAATGAAATCCTCAAAATCTCGTCGTAATAAGCCTTTGGTGAAGATGTCTGCCGTTTGTTCTTTTGTAGGCACATAGGTCATGCATATANGCGTATGGCACTACCAGACTGTGATGTTAAGAATGCACATGTTGGTACAAGAACTTGTTGCGGTGTATGTATCGGTGCATAAAATATTGCCGAGTATCTAATACCACCATTGCGACAAAGCGTTGTCTAGCAAGAACAACGAGGGAAGCTTGTTGACCTTGTGCAGTTTCATTGTCACTTCCTGTAACCTACATGACAAATATGGTTTATTTACAAACTAAGAAAAGCAAGTGTTTTGCAGAATGCATGTTTTCAAGTTTCATCAGAAAGTTTCTGCAAGTCTAAGGAGTAACCCCTTCAGTCCATCAGATAGAGAATCAAACTCGAGATCATTTTTTCAAAAATCAATCAGAATATTTCCAATCATAGAAATATCAACATAACCACACTGAACACTAAATATTTCACCAATACATTTCCTAAAGAAACTACTATAGCTGGAACCTCAAATTTTTCCATCTTAATGTCACTGAATTTGTCACATGAAGCATCAAGGTGATTTTATGAGTACAGATCCATGAATAGTATTAAATGTAATTTCTTGATTCGCTTCGATAACTATCTTTACTTTCTGATTTCATTTATGCATAATCAAGATAATTTATTTAGACAAATGAAAAAGGATAAATTACTGCAGGGAAACCACATTATCAGCATTACTCCCTTATTAAATAGAATGGTTATAAGAGTGTCAAATTAATCATCAAATGGAAAATGAAAAACAAACCCATACAATCTTCATGTTTTGACTAAAAAGATTGTGAATTGGAACGTGAATATAAAGATTTATATTACTTTCCTTCACCTATTACAATGAATAGAGAACCAATATATAGTGCAAGAGAGGGAACTAAACAAGGTAACATCCTAAACATGGAAAAGGAAAATTTGCCTATTCTAAATTAGGTTATACAATCAATACAAATCAATCCCTTAATCTCGGGATTTCTACACTCCCCCTCAAGTTGGATTGTAAATGTTGACCATATCCAACTTGCAAATGAAATCCTCAAAATCTCGTCGTAATAAGCCTTTGGTGAAGATGTCTGCCGTTTGTTCTTTTGTAGGCACATAGGTCATGCATATAGTCCCATCTTCAACGTTTTCTTTAATAAAATGTTTGTCTACTTCCACATGTTTGGTTCGATCATGTTGAACTAGATTGAGTGAGATGTTGATAGCTGCTTTGTTGTCGCAATAGAGTTTGATCAGAAGATTTACCATTGCTTGTAATTCTTCCAATAGTTTTTTTTATCTACAGTCCCTCACATATTCCATGTGCTACAGCTCTAAACTCAGCTTCAGCACTACTTCTGGCTAC